ACCCGTAAAGCGATTCCAGATTTCCTGTAGGCATCTTGCCAATAACCGCTACGGTAGGTACGGCTGCATGTATGTACTCATATATCCATGCAGCACCGCGGCCGCTTCATATCAATCCCTTCGCTTCATATTTTACTTCGCAAATGAAGCAATACGAGCATCAGGTACGGTCGTCCATTTGTGGGCGGGCGGGCGCGGTGGGCATCCGGGTCGGTATGTTGCACCTTGGTACCTTAAAAGAGTACCTTCTTTGAGAAGGCGCTACGCAGCGAATGCTCATGGTCAAGGGAGCGGAATTTCGTTCCTGGCAGGCGTATTAACTCGACTCGTCTTAGAGACTTATCGTGCCAACTGCCTTTAAATGAAGGCAGGAAATTTTTACATACACATTTTGCCCATAAGAATGGTGGGAGAAGCACTCCAAAGACATTCTCCAGGATGCGGGAGGCTGTGTGCTTCATTTAGACAGGGTATATGATAAGGACTTGTGGGCGCGGGTCACGTTCAAATGAAGTACGCAGCCATGTTTGCCGCACCACAGGGATTTAAATAGTATACCCTGCACGAAACTACCTCACCATGGATCACGATGCTTGGATCCTGAACATCTGACGTGCAACCTATTCCCTCTTTGACCTGTTTTTGAATATCTAGTGGTTGAACTGAGCAAGCTTAAGGGTTCTCATCTAAATGTAAGCTACAAAGGACTCAGTTGATGAGCCGTACCTGAAGAATGCCCGGGCTGGATCGAACGGCTTGGCGAATTTTTCCTGTGAAACGGTAGCACTTTTCTTGTCAACAAACTGCACGAGGACGCTACTTCAGAGGAAGACGGTGCAGGATCACGAGGAACATCATCTGGAACGATAATTGATTTAGGGAATCGGAACAAAGACGCTATGCAAAGAGGCGTCGTCCACGAAAATGTAGAGACCTTTCCTCATTAAAAAAGTAGGTTAAAGCATCACAATAGAACAAGCAAGTTGAAGAGCAATTTTCTGTGGAAAAAATCAGTAGAAGGGTCACACACTACTGTTTTGAACACTATGGGTTACCAAATCGAAGAGTGTCACAAGAATGCTTACTTATGAGCCACAGGTTTTAACTCAACTGGGATACATAGTTTTAACTCAACTGGGATACATATTTGATGCTCACGTTGCCGGAGGCAATGTAGAGAACTACATCACCAAGGCCATGCCTACTCCTGCTATAGATGTTCTATAAAGGTTGCGAAAGGTGATGCGACCTGGTCTCCTTCTTAGGAAAGAAATCCACGATATTTATTCGTTAGACTGTTGCTATATTGTAAATGTGTAAAGGTGTCCATCGGCGTAGCGCGCTTGTTCCTAAAGGGAGATCTAACCCTTCGCAACGCGCTCACAGGCCAACCGGCTAGTGTCTGCTCTTGAAAGACAAAGAAAAAAGTGAAGTGCCGTGGAAAGTACAGGTCACCGATGAGCCTGGAGGAGATTGCTGGTGCAGGTGCATGTCGCGGCACGCGAACCAGAGACTTCTCATTGTGCTGGTTGAAGTAATAGCTCTCCAGTGCAAATTCACAGAGCTGATAGGATCTACAACGCTTTCGTTTCTTTAACGAGCTTTCTGAAACTTTCTTGACACAAGTTCTTGTGATTTTGGTGGATTCTGGGAGGAGCAATATGGAAACTGCGTCTGAAAGAAGGACACGACATTCTCGGAGAACGACGCCTTCGATGAGTAACAGTGATCATACCGTGAGGCGATTTCAACCTCTCTACGATCTTTTCTAAAGATTTTCGGACTCTCGTGGGTGGAGAAACGCACGGCGAAGCAGTTGGCATCCATGTGGTGACATCTAATACGATAATGCTTTCTTAGTGCACCACAAAAGATTAGTGCCCAAAAAAGGAACGATCTTAACAATGTAAACAACTACCTAATTCGGAAGCGTTAGGATCAGCTATCTCCCTTGTAGCAACGTCAGCGTTAATCGGGTGGACTGCACGTGCCTGCTTATGCACGTAGTCTCCAGAGGATGCCAACTCTGAAAAATTGGACTATTGACAAACTCTACAGCAGTAATAGGCTGAACAGTGTACAACCATATTGCGAGCTCATCGAAAGTAATGACGTTGACAGGATCCCACTAGATATAATTCGCTAA